ATCCTAATAAAATCCTAATAAAATCTTAAATCCTAGATAAATCTTAATCAATTTCTAATCAAGTTTTAAACCAAATTCCAAGAAAATCCTAATCCTAATCAAATCCTAGACCAAATCCCAATCAAACTCTAGATCTTAAACAAACTCTTAACAAATCCTATAGCAAAATTAGAACCTTACCAACTAATAATCAAACCATTGATATCAACTCAAAATTTGCACATTTTTTAATATCTTAGTTAGAAACAAGCATAAGAAAGATAAAATCAATCGTACTTACCAACTAAGAGAAATAGAAGATAATCCAATTGGGTATTAAGTGGCCTCTTATTCCAATCTGAATGCTAAACTTTCAATGCTAATTTTTCCTTCTTGAATCATTGAATTGCTTCTAAATTTTTCTTAAAATATTGAAAATTTAGTCTAATATTTATAAAAAAAAAAGTTTCACTTCAATCTATTTAATAGATTGCTAAAGATTTTAGAAATACTCACTAACACTCAAATTCCAATTTTTGAGACCTCAATCCACAAAAACCTTCACACACTTTGATCTAAAAGTTTGATTGACCTCAACATTTGTAAACACATTTATAACTAGAACACAAATACAATATTTAAAACTTGCCTATATATACACCACAAAACTTAAGAAATCCTTAATTTTGTAAACATATTTTTATTTCTAAAAATCTAAATTACCAGAGAATACTCCTAATTTTGAAAATCCTTCAAAACTTAATATAAATTCAATTAACATAAAATCAAAGCCCAAAAATCTTTCTTCAAGTTTGTTCTCAAATCCCACTTATTAATCTACCAAAAAACCTTGGAGTCACTATAGGTGTATAGTTTTGTACCTTGAGATCTGATTTGGATCCAAGTTGACAACAATTCCTTGCTGGATATCAATTTTTGGCTTCTTAAAGAAAATTTTGCTACAATCTACTTTTAACTCCCTCCTAGACATGTCTATATTATTTTTTATCTCGTTTACTTTGATTTGGCTCATTTATGCATCTGCAAAATAAATAGAAGTTCCTTCTATAAAAAGATAGCATTAAGACTAAATCTTTTATTATCTTTCTATCATTTATCCTTATTTTTCTACCATATTTTTTTGCTAGGATCTTCTATTATGACATCCATATTTTTATTTTTTACTATATAATCGTATTATCATATTAAAATATAAAATATGATATGGATTTTCATAGACTTTGATAGATATAATTGATAAGCAACTAGATTGACTTGTTAACAAATAAGAAATGGTTCAAATCTATGGTAATCCAACTTGTCATAAGGGCAAATAGTTTTAATATTTTGACAAAATAACTATATCTTATCACTAACATGGAAATAAAGTTATTGCTTGTGATAGGCATCCGTGTTATTTTTTTGTTATTCTTGAGCTTCTTTTAGTCATGCCTTCATTTTTATATGTAGCTTAGATAAATATTTTTTTAAATCTTCTACCTTAAGATTATCAACTTTTAAAAAGTAAAAAATATCAAGTCATAGATAATAACCATAATTAAAAAAATAATATATTTGTTGCAAAGAAGAATGTATTGTATTATTATAAGCAAACTTTGTCAATGATAAAAGGATTATTCAATCATTTATTTGATAGTTGATGGTACACTTCAAATATTATTCTAAAACTTGATTTATATGCTTTATTTGTCTATCAATTTGGAGATGAAAAGCTAAAGATAGTTTTACGTCTACTTTTAGAATAATAAAAAATATTCTTCAAAATCTTGATATAAACTAAGTTATCTTCTTTAATATAATATCTTTAGGTAATCGATGATAGCAATAGATGTTGTTAAGAAAAAGCTTAATTTTTTTGTCACTTTTGATAGATTTTATGCATGGTACAAAATGTGCCATCTTAATAAAAATATAGATCAAAACTCCACCAAAAAAGCTTCTATATTGCCAAATATTGGATTATGTTGTTCAAAAAAAGATAAAAATCATGATAATACAGAATTAAAAAGTAATATTTCAATAAACCTAACTTGTGATCTTAGAATTAAATAGCTTTAGAATTGAAGTTCAATTGCTAATTGTACTTGATTGATGAATCCTTGAAAATTTAATCTTGTACCATCAAACTTCTCAAGTAACGCAATTTTTAGTTTTTTAATTTTTAAATGGTATTCTACCATAAGAAAAGAGATGATTTAGTGCAAATATTGAAAGAGCTCCAATTATCTCTATATTTCTACTTTTTGTCATTTCAATTCTTCTTTGTGGTGGTAAAATTGAATTGATCCATTGGAAGCATTAATTTCATCAATTTTTCTTATTTTTGTGCCATTATATTCTTCATATGGATAAGCTATATTATAATAATACTTTTAAAAAATAATAATATCTAATATTGCTTAAGACAAGTAAAAAAAAGAACTTGAGATCAAAATAAATAATATTAGTTTAGAAGAGAGTAATGTGCAACTTCTAATATGCTTATGTCTTATTAAAAAAAAAAAAAAAAAAATAATCTACTCTTAATCAAGTAAAGATGAAGCTCTTACATTGTAAGTCTATTCTTGTTTAGCTGCCAAGGACAAAAACTCAATGAAAAAAAATAAAAAAGTATTTTTTTTTAAAGAAGTATAACAAAATAGAAATAAAAAAGTATATATATTAAAAAAAAAAAAAAAAAAAACTAGAATAGTTATTGCCAAAAAACAAGAAAACTTAGAAACTTCTTCAAACTATAGTAGAAATAAGAAAAGAATTGATAAGCGTGAAGAAGGCTTTACTCTTACCTCTATATATACTATCTACATAGGAGCTATGTAGCGACATTCTATAGGACCTCAAAAATGTGTTGACTTTGCACAACACCTATCTTAACTTGCAAGGCAAGTTTTTTATATGAGTGCCACATAATTAACTTATTTTGCAAGCTACCAACATGTATGGCATGTGGTTAACTTGTTGACCCAGTTTTCAACTTATTAATCAACTACAAACATATATAAAGTCAAAGTAGTATCTATGAGCTTCTAAAAAGATATCTTAGAAGATATTATGAAATTAATCTATCTTTACATACTTCTACCTATTTATATTACTAAGATAACAATTACAATAAATATATGTTTATGACACCAATACATGTGCCATGTCATTAACTTGTTGATCAAGTTTGTAATCTAATAATAAACTATAAACACATATAAAGTCAAAATTACATCTATGAAGCTTTTAGGAAGCTTCTCTAGAATATATTTTGAAATTAATCCATTTTTATCTATTTCTACCTAATCATATAGGTAATTATTGAATTAAGTACATATGTCCATGACAATTTGTCTTTCTTATTAAGTGTTGCATTATTTTATGGTAAAATACTTTTTTTCCTAATGGCATGGATTTTTGGTAGTACATGTATATGTATGTATATATTTATATAATTTCTTTACCATAGATTTTCAAATCACCATAAATATTCATATATTTTTTTTAAACTTAGATTAAAACTTGTAGGTTTTGATTATGGTTGTAATAAATAAATCCAATTGACATTGTTGTATAAAGAAATGGCAATATATAATATAGATTGCTTAGAATGAAATAAAATTTTGTAGTTAATACTATCAAAAGAAGATTAAATGTAAGCTATGTGTGGGATGAATATTTGAATTATAAATAATTATGTAATATGAAAAAGTGAATGTTGTCTAATAATATATCATGTCATTATTAAGATAAGTCAATGTGCAATTAAAGGTTATAACCATTTTTAGCAAGAACTTAGAATTAATATGAAACTTACAAAAGTATATATATAGCTAAGATTTTGTATTGATGTTTAAGCAAACTTTGGTTTTATTAATATTCTAGAAGTTTATTATTAAAAATAGAAAATAAAATTATTAATGTATATGTATATATATATATATATATATATATGAAAAACTAAACATACACCAAAAAGAAATACGGATTAATTTTTATAAAAAATACATAAAATTATTTTTTTTAATTTTTTTTATAAATGAATTTAAATGCCTATTTTTCAATTTCTATTCAAGTCTAAGCAAGTAGGACCCAACTTTTGTGTTATGTTTATTGTCTTGCATCATATATATATAAATATATATATTTATATTGGTTATGTAAAAAAGTAAAAAATAGTAATTTACAATATGAGAGACAAAAAAATAAAAAATAAAAAGTGTAAAAGTTAAAAATAACTACATGAAAATACAAGAAGATTTAAATGTCACACGTTTTATTTTTTTCATCAAAAGTGTTTCACAAATTTACTGTTTGACTTCCACATATAATATGTTTCTACTACTGTCTTATAAACAAGGTGTGATGTGGGATGTAATTCTATTCCTTTCTAAAGAGAGAAGTGGAGTGTTTTTTGCAAGATCATCACAAGTATGTTTCAGCATGCAATGATGTGGGATGAAAGTCGGTTCCTTTTTAAAAGCCAAGGAGCAAGGAGAAGAGGAGTGGGAGCAGGAAGACAAACGGGATTTTTGAGAGTATGATGCATGGAAATTGGATAAGTAGAGAAATTCCATGACATAAGCCCTAAATTTAGGGTTTAGGGTATTGAAGAGTCATTAGGAATGTCAATTTTATCACCTTCAGAATGTTGTGTTAACAACACCCTTCTGCTAATATCACTTCACCACCTCCACCATCAACACGATATAAATTATTCAAGTCATTGTTTTTGGCTCGATTCATACAATTACACTAAACTCAAATTCCACACCATTCAAGCAGTATGAACCAGTTGCTAAACCGCACCAACATCGGCCCCATCTCAAAAACAATAAAAATCCTCACACTAATTAAAAGCCATACAAAAATTACGCTCAAATTTATTCCAGAAATGAAATCAAGACCAGAGGTTTCAGTGCGATGATTTTGAGGAGGTAGAATTCGAAACAATGAAGAAGAGGAGGAGGAGGAATGCAGAAACATCGTGATCCGACGCGACGTTGGGAACAATCTCAGTGACCCAGATGCAGATCGGATGAGTTCCAGTCAAAGTCCCCGTAGTCTCTCTCCGATGCTACAGGATAGATAGCGTTTGCAGTAAATGGCACTCTTGCTTATGGCACCAGTCAAACCCGGTTGAGTGTCGCCATGAAACGCACAGCAAATCCAAGCCGCAATCGATTCTCCCACGCTACCATTACTCAAATTAGGCCGTGCCATCCGGCGCTGTAGTCTTGCGTGTCCATCAAGGCACGCTTCGTGACGATTTCGAGGGTACAGAACACTTGTACGACGAGTTTCGAATCTGTTGTTGTTGTTGGTGTTGTTGTTGTGTGACGTCTGTTTCCGTTGGAGATTCCTCCGGTTGTCGTCGTCGTGTGCAACTGTGGCCAACATGCTTGCGTCCGTGTTCTCGCCTCGTGTGGTTGTGGCCAGAGACGGTGCCTTGCGTTGCGATAGCTTGTCGGTAGGGAGAGTTACTGGGCTGGGATTGGTTTGGAAGGATAGGGGGAGGTTTTCGGAAGGGAATGTGGGTTGGTGTGGGCGCGTGGAGAGAATTGACCGTGATGGTGAACTGGGAACGAGGAGGAGACGAGGCTGGGCTGTTGCCGCGGAGGGAGATGAGTCTAGGGAGGTCTTGGATGTTGGGCGCGACCAGGAGGTGAGTGGGGAAGCACTTGACCAAGGCTTCGCATTGTAGAGTGTTTGGATGCGAAGGTGGAAGATTGAGTTGCCAAAATCATTCATGTTGGCTATGTACAGTTCTTGTGGGATTAGAAGCTAACTATTGTCGATGAATTGTGTGCAAATATATATATATATATGTAACTTTGAAAGTAGTGGGATCGTCGGCAAATTGTGATGTGAATATCTTTAGGGTTAAGAAAAGTGTATTTGGAATAGCGTAGCTGAGGAGGTTGTGTTATTGAGAAATGCGGATGTGTTTGATTTCTATTTATTTCGTCTATCTGGGGTAATTCTTGCTAAATTGAGATCGACATGCATGACCAGGCTTCGACCAAGAGCTTAACATCATTTTGGAAAGATTGGCAGGTTCGTTTTTATTTGAACACCAGAAGCGCCCCATTTAGAGCTCTAGCTTCATCAAGTTCAGCTGCCTTTGAATCTTGTACCTCAATGTACTGGAGATTTGATTGATGGGAAAAGTTTTACTTGCTGTGGCTTTTTTGTGGTTCCACTTTTCAGGCTTATAAACTTGTTTTGTAGAATCTAGGGGGGAAAGAAGGATCTCAATTTGGAGGCTCTGGAGGTTCATTGTCACAGTACTCTCCGATGTTCACATGCCTACGAGATTAAGTGTACAAATTGTTGCGTAGATGAGTTCAGGAAAATTGCGGGAGAAAATCACGAAGTTGGGCCGGGCTGGTTTGCTTGCTTATGGTCTATTCAATGGCATCACATACACCACGTTCTTTTTCATTGCATTCCTGGCCTTTGAGAAGAGCACGGGACAAAATCCTGCGAACAACCTAAAAGCATGTCTTGGCGTAAGTATACTGTGATGTTAGATCTTGTTGAGTTTTTGTGACTGGTAGATTGTTCTTGTCGCGCCCTTCAAACGGAGAAAGTAATTTCGACTTAATATTCTTTTATGATGGCAGGGAATGATATCGATGTGGACGGGGAACAATTTCACGAGGCCTTTGCGGGTTGCTGGTGCTGCTGCTCTCGCCCCGTTCATGGACAAAGTATTGAAGAAGACGCAGAAGACCTTGAAGTTGCAAGATGAAGCATCTGCGTTTCTTTTCCTGGTCATCTTGTTGATTGTGCTCTGCGGCTCAGCAGTAGGCCTCTTGATTCTATCTCGGATGGGCACTGGGCAGATGAAATTCAACTGACGAACTGGCCTTTCTATGAAGATATTCAATCCCTCACATTCATCGCCACAGTATGTGGCTAGTCTCAACGCCCTGTCACTAAAGCACTGAAACACTATTCATACACATCTCTCCTCTGAATCAGTATGGTTTGTTAGTTCTTTTACATTCATCATGAGCCGCACATTTGCAGCGTCTTATCGCTGATTCGCTGAACTACACACGGCGTCTGCAGTTGCAAGGGACACTGTTATTATTGTAGAATAGGCTCTGGTTTTGGGCATTGAGAGCCTACCAAGCTGTGTTGAAGATTATTCACGATGACACGCAGCTGCAGAGGTCGAGTTCCGTTTCAGAATAAGCAACATCATGAAATTATAAACCTTCGTCGTGTTTTTAACCTATATCGCGACTTCTTCCTCTAGTTGAAATCTTACCCTGTTGCTTGTTCTGAAATGGACCTGAGAGTGGAACTACATGAGGTTAGACTCAAACCACATTACTTTCTGCCTTTACTTCTTTTAGTTGATTCCGCGTTATACAACTGACGATATGAATTGAACTATTTAATCTTATGAGATGGTAGAGATCATTTGAGCTTCGTAGCTTGGATTTAGGGTGCATTTGTAGCGGAAAGATAACTTGCTGTTACTGTGCGAATTGAGCAGATGTTCAGACGCTCATTTGTTGTTGTTGTTGGTTGCAGGCAACGCTGGTGGGCACTGTAGGGGCATATAAATTGAGAGTCAACACTCTTGTGAAGGGTGGATGGTTCTGTTTTGTAGCATATGAAGCACAAGTGACCGATTCCAGCCTTTGAGGTACATTTTTAGGTTAGATACTTGCTCACACGTCCTGTTTAATCGTTTCTTTTGCAGCAAATACCATCAGAATAAAACACGAAATGACTCGCTATTTCAAAACATAAATGCCGTTCAGTTTAATTGAAGACGTCAGCTTATCCCCTATCGAGTCTGTACAAAAGGAGATACACTTGTGGTGAATGGAATGAGGTTGCCGACTGCTGAAGAATAAACGAAGACTTTTACTCTTCCAGAAAGTGGAGTAACCTTTCTGGTCCAGACATTGCTTCTGCTCATCAGACTGAATTTTCACTATTTGCAATATTTTTCATGGGAAGCCCTTCACAATGAATCTTTTTATTTATAAGATTAAAAATTAAATACATGATTCTAAATTCGCTTATTGGAAGGAAAATACCCAATATCAACAACCTTGTGAGAAGTCGGAACACAAAATGTTCATATGGTTTCAATTTGTCACAAATCTTGAATATATAATTACCAAATACTTAGATATGAATTTTAAGCGATTATTTTGGGAAAAAGTTTCTCCTTTAGATAAGTACGCTCAAGTTAAGAAGGTGTATGTGGTTCATCAAGAAATGGCTGTTTCAGTGCTTTTGCTTTGCTTTTCAAAATAATTAGTTTTAATAAGTTTGGTTCTACGACTCACGTTAAAACATGTTATGGAAAACCATCAACCCAAGGAGTTCGTGACCAACACTGGGCTATTCGGAACTTTCAGAACTAATATTTTTCCCTGTTGCATTCCGAAAGGAAAACCAAAATTTAGCTTCTCATACTTCTAAGTTCAGAATATTCAGTGGAGCTACAGAATCTACTACTAGGAGCAATGAAACTGAATCGATACTACACCGATCAATATCCTATCAAAATAGGTGATTACTCCACACCCACAAACTCATACAACTTATCTCCACTTAGTCACCGTGAATAGTATACCGCTCCCATCTTTTGGTGGGGTCATAAATCTGAAACAGAAACAGCAAAAAATTTAGCTCAATGCTCTTTGAAACCAACCGGCGTTGTTAGACAATCACAAACCTTGTTGAATTAGAGCCAACCCTTCGACCACTGATGGTATACGCTGGATAATAAGGTGACGGAATAAGCCTTCACAAATTTAACAGATTATTGCTAGTCAACTTCGCCGACTTACCTCCCATCTCGAAGCTGGAAAAATATGCTTATTTTTCTCATACCAGTGACGCTCAACAACTTTTCCAGCGTGCGACTGTCAAAAGATACAAACATTTACTACAATGCTTGTCTGCTTCACATAAGTTTTAATAACATCTGAAACATACTTTTCTGCAAAGTACAACCAAAAACGTACACGAAAAATAACAAATGCAGTCTCCATGATTTAGCTAACCAGCAGCAAAAGATGGTTTTCTACTAGATATCAATTCTCACCTCATCCTTTTCGATCGTAGCATCTGCTATTGTTCGAATATCCTCGTGCACATCAAAATGAAAAAGCTGAAAGCAAGAACATAATAATGAAACCCAAGTGAACAATACCCCCTTTCCACACACACACACACACACATATATATATATATATATAAACACTTCTTCAACTATGTTTCCTTAACTATGAGTTGCAAATATAGAAAATTATAAACGAAGGTGGATTGTGATCTAACCTCAAGCGTGCATATTGACCTAACCTTCAGATGGATATGATTCATTACGTTCCTTAACACTTGATCCAGGTCGGTAAACTACAACTCCTAAATAGTGATAGAAAAGATATAACAAAATAAATCGCACACCGACGTACCGGCCCACTCTTGCCCCTTGCCTTGTTGATGATGAGTTCATAAAAGCTATGCTGCTGCACGACCCAAACACCCACATGTACGAGCGCAGTCAATATTCGATCAAAGGTGTTATCCCAAATAAAAAAATCACCTCAAACCAGTGACTCTTAATCCGAAGTGTGTTATGAATCCATAATGTTTATGATCATCAGTAACGAATGATCAAAGAAACACCCGTATATACTGTACGCACCCAAGAAGCGGAACTGCTGAATGAAAATCATTTCCAGTAACACGGGATAAGAGAAAGTCAGTATTTACGTGAGGAATGATCAGATCTTCCTTCACATAGAGAAGATTCTCAACAGAAGCTGTGCGTATCTCTCGAAACTCTGAGGCCAGCTGCTGTTGAACTGCACGCAAAAACTCGGCTATAGAGTCACCTTTGCGAACCTGCAATTATTCTCAAACCAAAATCCATCATCGGCAATGAAAATAGAAAGTTGAAGTGGATCCACAACAGCAAGGGCAACTTTGCAGAGTGTACTCAATTTGGAGGAAAACAAAATATAAATAGTGGAAATGCAAAACCCATTGTAAATGAGGGAGTTGCGAGCGAGAGGTCACCTGTATGACTCGACGATGACCAGCTCCGTCCCAGTAACTGTACGTTATCTCCAAAGCTTCATCTGTAAGCAAAATTAAAAGAATCGTGTCAACCTAAAATACTTCAGATGGACCTGGGGCAAACAACTGATGTAATAGCATAGCACACAAGTTCATTCGCGGCTGTACATGCTCCCTCTTAAACTGGATAGGAACAAAAAAGCAGTTTGCAATACTTTTGACGCGAGATTGCTCTTGAAGCCACTGGGTTCGTAGACGCTCTCTCTCGGCTTGTTCCTCAGCCTCTCGCTCTCTGCAGTTCCACCCTCCACACTCTTCATAGAATAGTAAGGTATTATGGCAGGATAGCACACAGTAAACTATCGATTCCCAAAGAGTCCAATCATAAAAATGAGCAAACCAATTTAAAGACACTAATCTTCCGGTTAGAACAACAAGAACTTTGATCTACAAAGAGTTCATTTCAGAGCTACAAAGAGTCAAATAGCAAGGCATAAACTCTGGCTTCATAACTAAAATTCTGCAGAAACAACAGCTTCGACCGCCCATCACTGATAATTGGTAATGACGATGAACAACATCCGAGGTCGTAGGTTCCAAGTGTCGTCCACAAAGATCAGGTGATTAATTAAAGGTGGTGAGAGAAGTACAACAATCATACCTGTCAGGTAAGAAGCTTGTCTCAACGCCTGGATTTTTACCGAACTTTCCTAGCTTTTGTTGTTTGATAGGCTCTAACGTTTGTTTCCCTGAATGGTAGGGAGGATAGATCAACATTCCAGAGGGAAACGAGTGACTTAATACACTGACATTGTCATCCAACTACTTTTTCAACAGAAGATACTTTGTCACATTGCTTCAAGGAACAATACTATCCGAACGACTTCAGTGCCCCATTTACGGTGTCAAAATTGAAAAATACGATTTTGATGATAGCAGGTCGTATGAGAGTAACCAGAAGTCTCGACAAGATATTGAACGAAAAGGGAGTATTAAAGACTTTTGAACTTCTGATTTTAAAATAAAACCAAAAACAAAACACAAACTCACAAACACGTGTGTAGACAAGTCAATATGACAAACATAGAAAGCTTCTTTGATTTTACATACCAGCCGCTTCATTCTCTTCATCTGTATCTCCATCGATTTCATCAGCAAAAGAAAGACGAGAAGGACCTTTAACCCTTCGTTTCTTCCGTTTCTGAACATGTCGTTGCTCCTCCCTAAGGATTCGAATATAAGATGAGCTACTAGTGAAAGAGAACATAAGAAAATACCCTTATGAGTAATGACCAGAGTAGGGAAACTTTCGATGCAACCATTGCACATCCTAGTCAAAAAGCGACAAGGTTCAGCATATTACTCTAGAGCAAGCTTTTGCTGCTTTTCCTTCTCTTCCTCTTCAAGTTTTGATCGCAAATTGACTCGCTGAAACAAATACAAAAGAAATCAAATTACTGGGTCAGGCACAACAGCATAAGCTATCCAGCTGAGAACTCCAGTAAATCTAAACTAATGACATAGATGAATCAAGGAACGAGGCAGACATGAGAACACGAACTTTGATTGATAACGTGAAAAATTCAGACTTCATCAAAGATCAAAATATATATAACAGTTTTACCTTCTCCACAAACTGTTCACGAGTCACAAGTCCGACTGTTTCTTTCTTGAATGCACTCTCCAACAACTGTATCACAGCGAAGAAACCAAAGTGCGATCTAAGTAAAAATAAAACAGAAATAGGAATATCAATCATTACAGCAGGACAATGCATCAAGAAAATAAATGTAAAGATTTAAGTTCTCGTTCTGGAAGAGAGTCTTTTATGATAAAAAAAATTTCATGGATATTCTATCGTCATAATATTTGAGTGAAACAGGAGTCTTAAGCAACTAATGACGCATTACTCATCAGACGCATGACTCATAACTTGAACGACATCTAAACTACATATTATTGAAGACTCTGCACAGAACGGTAGGCATTAAGGATTTATAAAACCACCTCGACCTGCCGGCTAAAATAACATATTACAATGAACCTTGCAACCTAACATAAGACATGCCCTTGAAGTGGAACCATAGGGGAGACGACGATCCTAACTCACACACATCGTCAGCAAAACGATTCACACTTCTTCAGCTCATCGTGATTCTATCCTATTCACCATGCGGGCTTCACGCAACAATTATTTTACCATAAGATAGGAAAGCCTGAATAAGTAGAGACTACCGTTCAGAATAATCACAACACAGTGTCCTGCTGCAAGCTTCATAAAACACCATCACAATAAGCCAATACACCGAGCTAAACGAATTTCCTCAGAAATTTCAAATAAAATGAACTTAAGAGTTCGCACTCCGCGAAACACATCAAATTACACAGCCAATCCTCCGGAGGCAACGGTTCCAGCATCCAGATCCATCTTCATAACCCTAATTACACCAAAACAACAAAACTAGAAAAAAGACAGACCAATACTCACAGTGCCCTACCTCTGAGGTACCAGAACCAAACTGAAGAAGACCTCCCTGCCCTTCCGCGGACTTCTTCTTAAGGTCCTCAATACGCTTGCGCTCGGCTTCCCGCTGCTTCTCCAGCCGCCGAATTCTGGCTGCATCTTGCGCCGTGCCAACGTAACCATCTCCCATTCCAGACATAGCTAATCACTTGCAAAATCTCCAGCACCGCGACACAGACTCGTTTCAATCCTCAGAGTGTAAATATATCTTGCTATCATCGTCACACAATGGTGACAATCAAGCTAGAGAAAAGAGCCGACACAGGAACACGAAGCCAAGCCGAAGACGAAGACCTCGAGCTCCAGCCACCCTGTCCCTGAACAAAGCTGACGGGGCGTCGCATCATTGGTCCTGACCCCATACTATCCAGCTGGACAAGAACCAGCTATGTATTAGAACATACTAAATAAATAAACCAAAAGTAGAAGTTATGAGCCTTACTTTACGGCCCTAATTTTGGATATTTTTAATGTTTTTTTAGAATAGGTATTTAATTAAGATAAAACATATATTTTAAAGAATACTTTAAATGCTAAAGGGGTCACATTTAAGACAATCAATAAACCTTTGAAGTAAAATCTTAATTCAAATTTTTTCTTTATATATATATATTAATTAAAGTTTTTTTTTTCATATTAAATTTTTATTCTCTAAAATATATATATATATATGATAATTAAAGTTTTTTATTTGATTTTGATATTGAATTTTTATTCTCTAAATATCTATAGATTGTGTAAATTATCAAAGATTTAAAAAAGATTATAAACAAATCAACAAACAAACAAAGATTTTATCTATTATATTAAATCTCTCTCTCTCTCTCTCTCTCTCTTTTTCTCTCTCTCTTTTTATATATAGGGTGTTGCTAATGCCACCATAATTTTTATTACTCCTATCACAATTTATTTTTATAAAAAAATAAATTATTAAAATTAAATTCATATTATGTATAATTTTAAATATATAAATATAATAAATATTAACAAGATTTTTTTTAGAAGAAAAAAAAACTAAAAACTTATGTTAAATAGATTATGGTTTGTTGCATTATTAATATTCAATATGTATATATATTTAAAATATATATATATATATATATATATATATATATATATATATATATATATATTTTTTTAAAAAAATTAAAATTAAAAAATTTCACATGTGATATTATTTTTTAATTTCAATATTAGAATTAAAATGATTATATAATTTAAAGTAATAAAATAAAAAAATCAATAATATGTAGTTATGTGTAATAAGTTCTTATACCTCTTTTAATAGAATTTTTGTATTTGATTGTCTCTATATTGGAGCCTTCATGCAACTATAAAGAGACAAGGGAAGAGTTTAACAAGAGGATTTAAAACATCTACAATATAATAGACTATGATTATGGGAGGATTGCAAAGGCTTTAGAGATAGGAAAGTCAAGAGCTCAGGAGGTGGTGAAGAGAGAAGATTCACAAAAGAATCATATTGAAGATGCTTCTTACAAAGATCGTCTACAAAAGATTACAAAAGTTATAAAAAAGAGAGTAGAAGATGTGATAGATAAGAATCTTAAGTTATCTTTACAAGAGATTGCAAAAGCAGCAGATATTGGGCTCTCTTTCACAAATAATTGTAAGATTGATTCTACTAATAATTTCTGCTTAAAGGTACCATGGATGAATCTTATTAGAGGTCATATCTAAAAGAAAAACGTCAAGAATTTGCTCATAGATGCAGTGGATGGAGTTTGCAATAATGGACTAGGATTGTTTCATTGATGAAGCTACTATAGTCTATGTTCCATATCTTGCACAAAAGAGGGTCCATATGCATTGAGGTAAGAAACTACTCAAGAAGAATTTGAAACCTAGTTTCAATTCAAAAGGAGACAAATATTAGGATTTTTGTGTATATTACAAAAAGATGTTGTTTTAGGTTAGCATTAGTGAGAATGACGACAAAGAGGGAGTATGTTACTCCTTGTAATAGACTTGGCTTCAATGATATATAATTTGCTTAAGAATTGCATGAACCTTATATTGTTCTTTTTATTTGCACTCTAAGCGATGAGCCAAATTACATCTACATAACAACATATGGAGCAAGATAGTACCAAAGACTTAAGTATCCAAGAATTTAGAAAGAATATAGCTATACACAAGTACTTTGGCTATCCAATTCTTTAAACTTCAATCTAATTGAGAATTATTGAATGATTCTTAAATGACACATTAAAATTGTTTCTGTCAAGGACATAAATTTCAAGGAACTAAAAAATCAATACGTTTTTATGTCATTCAAAAATACTAGAAAATTCATCAATGATGGCATAATATTAAATTAGAATAGCTATTACCAAAGACAAGAAGACTAGAAAGTTTGGAAACAAGACTAAGGACTAAAAAAGTATTGATAGGAATGAAAAAGGTTTCATTCTTGCCTCCATATATACTATCCAACTAAGAATTATATGGCGATGTCCTATAGGACCTCCAACATGTGTCCAATTTGTAAGACACATGTCTTAACTTACAAGGCAAGTTTCATATATGCACATCATATCATAAGCTTGTATCACAAGCTATCTACACATACAACACATGGTTAAGTTGTTTGCCAAGTTTTTAACCTATCAATCAACTATAAACATGTATAAAGTTGAATATGTATCTATAAAGCTTCTAAGAAGCTTAACCATGAAATAATATAAAATCTATCTATTTTTACCTTCTATCTAGTATTTTTTAACTAGATAAATATGTATGTTCATGACATTAATTTTTCTTCTGGGAACAAGTTTCATGAGGAATGATCATCATATATTGAAGAAATTTAAAATGCGGCAAATTATATTTGCAACATACTTTAACCTTTGTTCTCTTTGAAGGTGGTTGATAGATTTTCTTAGTCATAGATAATGTCTCAATCTAAGATGGAAAGACTACTTTGTTATTTGATCATTATTGATGTCTTTGTAACTTCTTTCAAACAAAATATGTGTAAGACCATCAAAATTCATTCTTATTTCTAATAAAATCACCAAACATTGAAAATCTCTTCTAAGGTCGTGATATCAAATGCATTATATCTTGCCATCTATTTAGAGAAGAACTTGTTGTTCTTAAGAATCTGCATCTAAATTATATTGTCTTAAAGGTTGTGACAATTTTAATCTCTTATTTCATAAATTAGTAGAAAATAGTTCTTGAATTAAATTTGCAAGTTTTTGGTTCTCTACCTTCTTAGTGCCATAAATATATATAAATTGTAAACAAAGATGGAAGATAAAATGTAATTTTTTTAAAACTATAATTATTTTATAACAAAGATTTGTTATTCTTTATCTTGGTTTTGATGGATGTTGTCAATGAAAAGCATCAACCTTCTTTGTTATATTTGCAAGATTTTTAGTTGATTCTTATGTGTATTCAATAATATCATAGTTGTACCAATGAACAAAATATTCCAACCTATTTTCCACTGCTTTGAGTTGAAGACTTCTCTCACTTCAAACTTTTGATTATTATTCATTTCTATAATAAGAGGTGTCATTTGTCTTTTTTCCAAGATATTCATTGTCTTATATGGCTGAAAGAGAAAATATATGGAATACAAAATGGATCTCCATAGACTCTAATAGATATAATAAAAAAGCAATTAGATTGATTTATTCACAAATAAAAAATAATCTAAGTCAACAGTAATCCAACTTATGTTAGGGACATAGTCCTTAGACCTTTCTAGAGACAAGTTTCTAGAACCTTCTAGAAAGAAGTCTCTAGAAACTTCCAGAAGATTCCTTGAATATTCTCTTAGAATATTCTTCAAAGATTCCCTAAAGATTCCCTTAGAAGGCTCTAGAAGATTCTTAGAATATTCTAGTAGATTCTAAGAAGTTACTTGAGAAGCTTCCTAGCTCTTGGGTAGTTGCTCGAGAAGCTTCATAGTTCTTGGGAAGCTTCTTGATGCGCTTTCTTAGAACCATAGGCTAGTAGTATATATAGGAGTCGAGGCTGAAGAGTTCTTCAGTCTCGACAACACATCTCTTGGAGTTTTAGCTCACCTTTCTGGTGTTGTTCTTGTACTCATCTGTTTAATCTAGTTCTGCCACTTCTTCTTGAACTTCTTGTTAGATTTCAAGTCTGTATTTTGTGTCCGTGACAGTTTGTCGAGACTACCTTTATCTTAATATCAGAGCCAAATCCTTCTTGTTTGAGAGCGGATTACCCTTCTTCTTGAAGGTATTCTAGCGCTTTAGGGGTTGCGGATTACCTTCCTCTAAACTGATATTTTCTCAATCACAATATCAGAGCTTAGTTCTTTGAGGCAGAGAGTGGACTACCCCTTTCCTTGGAGATACTTGAGCGTTCTAAGGGTTGCGGATTACCCTCTCTTGGATTGATATTAATTCCTTCTTTTTGTTTAGCATAGCTAGTAGAAAAGACTGTTAAACATCGATTTCAGAGCTTTGCCTTCTTGATAGAGTGCGGATTACCCCTCTTCTCGAAAGCATTGAGGCATTTTTAGAGGTTGCGGATTACCCTCCTCTAAAACTGAAATCGTTTAGTGTTTTTTTTCCTTTTCTCCGAGTAGGTTTTAGTGACAGGCAGTGCTACAATTTTCTCCAAGAGACTTAGCAATTTCTTCTTCTCTCAAAATTTTAATCCATCTATTCTCTAAATATGGAAGTAGACCAGGTCATAGACAGTGCATCTCCACAAGTAGACAATAGAGTGGCAACTCTTGCAGATCTTCAAGCTCTTATGAATAGTGTACGAAAGGAGATTGCATTTTTTCACAATCCAAGTAAAGAACCTCAAATTGATCTAGTGACCGAAGAAGCTAGACGCGAAATTCATAGCCTATAACAAGAGATTATTCGACTGAGAGAAGCAAGACATGTGTCACATACGACCCCTATAGATACTTCAAGGATTAGTACGAAAGAACCAAAAGCGAGTATGCCAGACAAGTTTGACGGAACAAGAGCCAACTTTCGAGGTTTTGTGCAACAAGTACGGCTTTACCTACGCCTATACCCTTCTCGTTATCCGAATGGATTTACCCAGGTTGCTTTCATAGGTACTCTTCTATCAGGAAATGCTCGCTCTTGGTTTGCTCCACTATTGGAGAAGGATTCTCCAATATTGTACGACCTAGAGGCTTTCATAGAGAGACTTACTGCTGCGTTTGGAAATAGCGATCGAGAAAGAGTGGCTGAAAGAAAGATACAAAATCTGCGACAAGGATCACGTTCTACTGCAATCTATGCTGC